GGGCGCGGGCGCCGGCAGCGGCGCGGGCTTGGCCGCGGGCGCGGGCGCGGGCTCGGCCGCGGGCGCGGGCGCGGGCTTGGCCGCGGGCGCGGGCGCGGGCGCGGGCGCGGGCTTGACCGCGGCCTCCGCAGGCGCCGGCGCGGGCGCCTCCGCGGGCGCGGGCGCCGAAGCCTCGGAGACGGCCGGCGCCTCCGCGGCGGCCGCCGGCGCCTCCGCGGCCGCCGCGGGCGTCTCCGCGGCGACCGCCGCCGCCGCCGCGGGCGCCGCGGCCTCGTCGGCGTTCGCCGGGGACGGCGGCGCGGAGCCGCGCGCGAGGATCTGCTTCGGCGGCGACGCCGCGGCCGCGTCGGCCTCCCTGGCGCGCTTCGCCGCGAGCCTCGCCAGCGCCCGCTTCTCCTTCGCCCGCTCGTGCTTCTCCTTCTTCGCCTGGTGTTTCGCCTGCTTCTTCTCCGCCGCGCGCTGGTTCTTCGCGAGGAGCTGCTCGAAGGCTCGGGCGGTCGGGTACTTGGGCGCGGTCCACACCGGCGCGTCGGCGTTGAGCGACGACGCGACCGCCGCCGCCGCGGGCGCCTCGGCGGCGGCCGGGGCCGCGGGCGCCTCGGCGGCCGCCGCCGCCGCGGGCGCCTCGGCGGCGGCCACGGCCGCGGGCGCCTCGGCGGGCGGGGTCGCCGCGGCGGCCTCGGCGGCGGCCGGGGCCGCGGGCGCCTCGGCGGGCGGGGTCGCCGCGGCGGCCTCGGCGGCGGCCGGGGCCGCGGGCGCCTCGGCGGCCGGGGCCGCGGCGGCCTGGGCGGGCACGGCGGCCGGCGGCGCGGCGGCCTCGGCCGGGAACGCCGGCGCCGCCTTCTTCGCCGACGGCGCGGGCGGCGACGCCGGCACGTCGACGAAGAGGAACGACTCGGCCTTGGCGGGCGCCTTCGGCGCCTCCGGAGCGGCGGGCGGCGCCGGCGGCGCGGGCGCGGCCGGCGCGGGCGCGGGCGCGGGCACCTTGGACGCGGGCGCCTCGGACGCGGGCGCCTTGGGCGCGGCCGGCGCGGGCGCCTTGGGCGCGGCCGCCGCTTTCGGCGCCGCGGCGGGCGCCGGCGCCGGCGGCGGCGCCGCCTTGGGCGCGG